ATTTCCATGGTGGGAATGAATAAGATCAGGGTCTGACTGATCGCCACTGGGTCTGTTTGGCTGATTGGCTGCTTCTATCCAGCAGGTGACATGTGAACCAAGCCAGGACAGGTGAGAGCTGGGAGAAGAGCATCCCAACGTCTTTCACGGTGAGAGGGCCGAGTCGGCTGAGGGTTTGGTTTGCTGGAAGATGACTTCCTTATGAAGCCAGGAAGTACCCTGAGGGAAGGAAGGGTGAGCCAGTAGAGGCAGACAGAGGTTACACCCCACACGACTTTGTGGGTCCCAGGGAGAAGTCTTTGTGGAAAAGAATGAGATATAACTGAAACATATCAAACAGGAGAGTGATGGAATCAATTCATAGTTTTTAAAAAATAGACGGTGTGCAAGATGATCTATAAATTCTTTCCTAAAGCTGAGATTCTGACTCTGATATGATAGGGTCCTAACCATGTCTTATTGCATATACATATAAAACAATTATGTACCATGCCTTTCTGTATTTATTCTATTTACCACTAACGTTCTATCTCGAGGAAGAGGGCATCAAACTCTAAATTTCAATAGTAGCTGGGAGAAAATGATCCATTCTTGTGATTTAACCTGAACTGGCCTTCATCATTACCTATCGCATCTGTCCTGTAGATATATCCGTTCTGTGTTCTGCTCTGCTCTGGTCCTCTACGCCTGCTAACCCTGCCCCCACACCTACACCAACCCCATGGCTTCTATCAGGTCAACAATTTCATCACTGACAATTGATTGGGCTCTTCCTCCTGGTCCCAACTCATTATTGTGCCTCATAATAGAGGGCCTGTCTCTCTTCTGTCACAATGGACTCTCCTTTTGATACCAGCACCTTGGCCTGAACTCAAGACCATTTTCTCCCTTACAGTCTATGAGGCTATAGTCTCCTTGAGAATAGAGATTATAGCTGGTTCCCTACTACATCTCAGTATTCACCAGTTTGGCACGGTCAATTGTTAAATCTTGAGAAAAAAACCACTATGGAATGAATGGATACCCTGACCTTGGAGGCAGCCTGCATAGGTGATCCTCCTGGACACCGACTCTCCTCTCTGAGCTCAACCTGATCATCCTTCCAATTCCTCTACTGTAAAACATGCTGCCTTTGTGCCAGTTAGACTCTCTGAACTATTTTAACTGGAGATGGAATTGAGCTTTTTTTTTTTCTTTTTTTTCTTAATCAGGCAAGGCACAAGCTTAAGATTGTGTTCTTGAATTGTGGCTGAGTCTTAACTGTGATAACTCAGAAAAAGCTAGCCTGCAGATGCTCTGTATCACTTCCAGTTCATCTTTATCGTTCACTACTACTTGCCAGGCACCATGCTAAGTCTCCTGTAATCTTCCCTCTGTCACCCTACATGGAAAATATTATTATCCTCATTTCACAGATGAGCAAATTGTGTCCTAGAGAGGCTGAGTGATTTGCCCAGGGTCACACAGCTAACAAGTAGATCTGAGGTTTTCAAGATTCTTCTAAATATGAAACTAGTACTCTTAACAGCTAGGGGAAAAATTTATAAAATAAAATTCATAACAGTACATCCACATTAGCATAAAGAAATGCATAATTGAACTGATGTGTTATTGAAGAATGAGTGTTATTATGGATAACTGTTGTATAATTGGATAGATTCACTTTCTTTGTCACACATTTTCCTCTTCACTTTCAAAAAATTTTGTCTATTCATAATCTTTACTAGCATATCAGAGCATATTTAAGATTTTCTTTTTGTAACTTTAAAGAATTTTATTTTAACAGAAGAACCCAGGAAACCTAGAAAGCTTAGAAAATATTCCATATCTTATTATATTTCAAAGGACTCAAAAAAGGAGTATCAAAAGAACCTAAGAGTTGTCATACACAACTGAAATGGATACAATATCAAAACCATTCAGAGTTTTAAAATCTGCTCTACTTATAGAAGGTCTCAGGAACCAAAATAAACTCATTTTCCACAGTTCTTTGACTGACAGTTCTAAAATGTCCAAAAGACAAAATTCTCATTTTTAACTTAACATCACATCAAAGCACACATTCAGATATTTTCTGATTTAAAAAGAAACTGCTTCTAAAAATGCCTGCTCTTGACGTTATTTAATACACAAATAAAATACACATGGACCAGTCCACCTCGAAAACTATAGAATTACAACCCAGGCATTAGCCTGGTTAAAGGCAAAACTCCACATGGAAGTCTTATTGAAAAATAAGAAAACTTTTCTTCAGTAAGATAATTATCTAAAGGAATTCTGGTTCTAACATTCATAGTCACTGTCATGAGTAGATTGTGAAATATTACACAATGCATGTGAGACATATCAGGGAAAGTACTAGCAAATTATAAATAACATTTAAGAGAATAAATATTATTTATTGTTATTTATTTTAGTATAAGCCCATCTTAACTGGGCAAAAAAATTTCCCAACTTGGAGAAATTATGAATTCAACTAAGAATCCAACTTGTGAATAGCTGTGGTTTTACAAGTCAGAGATTTAAAAACATCAGTATTGATACCATAGCATTTATTACATGTTTATCTTATCTACCTTTTTGGTTAGGAGGTTCTTTTAGGGAACATAGGGAGCAGGAAAATCTAGGCATGGGTCTTACTTTGGAAACTCAGCTTTTGCACCTTTTGGCAAGTCACTTAGTTTCTGGGTCTCAGTTACCCAGTCTGTACACTAGGGGGTAATAATACTCACCTTTCCACCACCCATACTGACTCAATGTATTGGGGAAGGGTATGGACTTTGGAGAGGCACAAATGCCTCTCTGCTTAGATCTGCACATGTGAAGTCTGGGGTAAGTTCCTTATCTACCCAAACCTCAGTTTCCTCACCTATAAACTTAAAATATCACACCTAGGAATATTCCATTAGGATTAGAGAAGATACATTTAGAAAGCTTTCAATAAATGGTGACTATTGATGCTTGTGGCCCATTTTGCACATTTCAGTATATTTGTAAGGTATTATTATATGACTTGTTTTTTCAGAAATCATGTAGTTTCCTACCTGACTCACTAACTATAATATTTCTCCCATAGTCTATATATCTGAATATATTTTCTTATATGGATTGGAGTCTCGTTGCAATACTTGCCTTGTGAAATTTGTTATGAGACTATGAAATTAGCAAACCTCCCCAAAATAAGATCCCTGATTCTTATTCCATTGCTGTGTTCTATAGTCTGCAATGAGTTTTCAGTCTATTTATTCATCTTTTTATAACTCATTCAATAAACACCGGCCAAGAGCTTAGAAAATCTATACTGCAGGAGAAATTAGCCTCTATATTTTGTCAAGATGGTTTTATGAAATATTATAAGTTATGACAAATTATTATAGTAATACCAAAAACTTAGAAAATATTACAGTTCATGTAACTTACAACGGGAATTGAGAATAAGTTTTGACAGGGACGCCGGATGGCTTAGTTGGTTAAGCATCCAACTTCGGCTCAGGTCCTAATCTCATGGTTCATGGTTTCAAGTTCCTCGTCGGGCTCTGTGCTGACACCTCAGAGCCTGGAGCCTGCTTCAGATTCTGTGTCTCCCTCTCTCTTTGCCCCTCCCCTGCTCACGCTCTGTTTCTCACTCAAAAATAAATAAACATTTAAAAAAAAAAGAATAAGTTTGACAATGTTACATATTCTCTAGAAAATAAAATAATAATATGCAAATTCTTTCACAAGAGTTACTACATAAATTAAAATCCAAGATGTATAAGACAATAATCCAAGGACGGGAATTTAGAAATGGAAACAACTTTAGAAAGTATCATGTTTGTGGCTCAGTGCTGAATTCTCTTTCAGAGTAGATTCTTAAGGGCTTTATATCTAGAATGATTTAAAAGTAGGCCACAATTGGAAACAATTAAGGAATTGTTCTACTTTTACTTTATTTTCCTTAACAATCATAAGTCATAGTCTATTTCTACTCATGGAAAACAACTGAATTTCATAAGATATATATGTATATATATTTCTATAATTTCTAAGTCAATCATCATAAACAGAATCCATTTTAACAGTGACTGAGTGTTCCCAATGTGTGGCAATGGCAAACTGGAATGATGAAAGTAACCATATAGCAAGGATTGGCAAACTACTGTTGTGGACCAAATCCAGCCCAATACCTGTTTTTGTAAATAAAGTTTTACTGGAACACACCCTGGTCCATTTGTTTACATATAATGTATGGCTTGCTGCTCATGTGATACACTGTTAGGGTTAAGTAGTTTTGATAGAAATGTCAGGGCCTACAGAGCCTAAAATATTTCCTATGCAATCTTTTACAGAGATGGTTTGTGAACTCCCACTTTATAGTAACGATATTGAAGTATTTATGTGCCGATTTTGAGTACTGACACAAAAAATAAGAAGGAACTAAAGGAGTTATTTAGCTGTATATTTAGCTCATTGGACTTGTGCCCAATGCTTAGTGGACACACCAGAGGTAGGATCCATGCTATGCACTTAAAAAAATTTTTTTAAGTTTATTTATTTTGAAAAAGAGACAGAGAGAGTGAGCGGGGAAGGGGCAGAGAGCTAGAGGGAGAAAGAGAATCCCAATACTGTCAGTGCAGAACCTGATGCAGGGCTCAAACCCACGAAAGAGTGAGATTATGACCTAAGCCAAAACCAAGAGTCAAATGTTTAACTGACTGAGCCACCCAGGTGCCCCTACAATTTGAGTAGACAAATGCTCCGCAAGCAGTCCTTACTGGGCTAAAGGGCCATGCTGCTCCCCACTGATGTAATAAAAGTTCCAAGTGTTATCCCCAGCCCCGGAGCAAATGCCCACCAGAATTGAAGAATTATCCTTTCTTTTAGGAGCTGGGGATTTTAATTTGTGTCTAATTTTTGCTGTTGTTGGAAATAATGTGATATATGGTTTTGTAGACACCACAGCTTATTTAATTGAAAATGACCATTATAATTAAAAGAGGCGAAAAGAGTTGATGCATTACCTGTATGTTGCTCTTCAATCCAGACTTGCAAGTACATGAACAGGAGAAGCCCTGCTACTCCAAACATCAGCACCGAGAGGAAGACTTGTTTGGGGTTCATGACCATTTCAGATGGCTGCATTTCTCCTCATTTCTGAAGTCCACATGATTTGTATTTCGAGAGAGCTTTGATCCTTTCTTGTTCTACTAGGTGCTCATTCCATGAAGTAACCTAGAATTATTAAAAATCCATATTGTACCTTACTGATGACATGTCTTCCCAAGCACAACCTACATAAGCAGCATGTCAACGACAGGGAGGACTCATGTGAACCGTAACAGACGACAGAAGAGACAGTAGGAGATTGTCCCTAAAAATGGCAGTTTTCTATCGTAAAGCTTTATTGTATCTAAGGAATCTAAGGAATTCACTGTATATAATGAGTAACACTTTCACATTTAATTAGGTGCAGTATAGACAGGCTTACGCCACCCTATATTGTGAAGAGTAAAGCAGGTTCAGGTAACCTTAAGATGACTGTGAGGGGGGAAAGAAGACTATCAGGATAGACTGTTGAAGGAGTTTTGAAAAACATGTTCATTGAATAAAGGGGAAAAATCACCATGTCTGAAGACGCATAAAGTTCAAAAATGGAGGGTTCAATCTATCATTTCCCTTTCATGTAAAAGTAATAGATTTCTCCAACTGAAAGGGTACATTAAAAATCCCTCAAACGCCTAAAAGGATAAATATTAAAAGGTCAGAGTTAAAAGGCTTCTCACACAATAACACGGGAGAACAGAAGTGTACCTCGGGTTACAGAAATCCACCTCTGTAATGAAAAGTTACTTTATTTAGAGAAATATCGAAATGACTTTGTTTTAGAACAATCTCATTTTGTGCAACCGTAACATTTTACTTTTTGTAAGTTGCATCCACGTTTGAGAATCTAAGGAAAATGTAAGCCCTCTTTTTAGACAAATACAAACACACACGATCTTGCATCAGTATCGGGATGCTTAGGTACTCTCTCTGAAAGCCAAGGTAAGACGCTCTGCTCCATGAACTGCCAAGCAAATATGCAGCAGCCTGCATGGTGAGCTCACTTAGTCCAGCTAATGAGGTCAGGGTCATGGCTTTGTATCTAATGCTGGCCAAAGACCATGGTTCTATTCCTTGGCTACAGACCACACCTCCGCTTTGGACGAGCTGAATGTTTCCTTACTGTGAGGACATCACACACACTGCTGTGTCTAAAAATTATCTCTTTTTTCTCTAAATATGCCTCAAAGACTCCTGGGAGAATATTGATTTAGGCTTTTTGAAGAGGTGTTTGGTGAGATGCAAGGTAAAAGTTAAAAGCCTGCTGTGGAAAATTGTTGGCTGGTTAAAAGATAATACTGAGCAGTTCTTGGCAAAACCAGTTTTCATGCAAATGGTGTGCTTCCAAGGTAACCTGTGAGATCTACATTATAAGGAAATGTGGTAGAGTGAGCCCCTGATTAGAAAAAAGAAATCCAACAAATAGTTAAAAGTGTTTATGCAGAACAACAAAAAGTTGTTTTACAAATACATTTTTTCATCTTATAAATACGTTTTTCTTTATATTTTAATTATTACTCAGAAGGGGCCAGAGCAAAAGCAGTGGTTGCCAGCATTACCTGAGGAGCTTTCTAGAATCCGCTTGTCTGAGTCCCCAGAGGAAGGGGCAACTGCTAATATTTTCATGTGGGCTTTTGAGCATTTCAAGCACTTGCTTGATTTTGAGAGTAGAGCAAGTTTTTAAATAAGTAGAACTGAGAGTGTCATCATACAGCTATTTGATGGGTGGTACTTTGCTCTTATACCGATTCAAAACTAAAATCTTATGGGCTTTCCAAACATATGCAACAAAGAACAGTTCCCGAGGGAGATTTGCAATTTCAAGTGTTCCGAGATTAAATACCTCAAGGAAAGCAACGAAGGGAAGCCAGCTTTCTCTCGTCTTGATGCTGCAGTTAAACAATGAACAGACATAATTCCTGGGTGCATGAGGAGATTTGGATAGGAGGAACCAGTTATACAAAATCTAGTACTAACAGAGAAATAGCTGTTTACAAGAAGAAAGCGACTTTTACAATCTGTCTACATAATTAAAACTTATCTCAGAAGAAAGAGGATAGAAGAAAATGCATAAATCAGAACAGAGCCACGAACCTGTGGGAATAGTAGATGAGAAAGCCAAAAGAGGTAGTCCTTGAGGGTCTGCAGAGGAAAATTATTACCTACGATGCTGGAAAGAGATGAAGAATTTGCCCTTTCTTTCTTCGGGAGATGTTGCTCTACTCTGACATACCCTCCTGGGTAAGAAGTCAGGAGAAAACCCATAATTGTTATTATGGCAGATGTGAGTAGGATTGAGTGATTAAAGCCACAAGGCAGAAAGGCAATCTGGTGTAAAACAAAGAGATACGTTTGATTTTCTCCCATCTCAGTCCATTAACCCAACATTGGCATTAGGAAATGGCTCTCATTAAACAAAGGTGAGGCTGGAGGAGCAGCAGTATTGCTTTAAGCAAACCTGAAGGTCAGTTGTGATGGGAAAACACACCTATTTGGAGATCATACATCTACCTCTACGCCTGCAGGAAAAGTGCAGACTACTGGAGATTGAAATTACTTGGAATAATGCTGTTTTATGTACAAGCGTTATACAACATTTCCACGGTGAAAGGCTTCCTGTATTTCATACAACTCCTTCCTCTCCTGAGCCCCATAAACACAGTACCTTGAACCTAACAGGTACTCAACAGTGTGTGTTGTACTGAACTGAATGTGGGACTCCAATAACAAAATACAGGTAAATTAACCAATTTTCTAGTTACTTGGAAATCCTTAGTCTAAGTCATACTTAGAATCCTGAAAGATCCTGAAAGAGGAATTATGTGACTTTGTTAAAAAAATACATCTTTATTTTTATTTGTAAATCCTATTGATTTGTCCCAAACAAATATAAAAAGATACATAAAAATAATTGGTTCACTATATTATCTCTTTTCCAACACTTTAAAAAATTACTCTTTTAAGATGTTCAACACCAGTCATCATCAGGGAAATGTGACTCAAAACCACCATGGGATATCTCCTCAAGCCTGTGAGAATGGCCATGGTGAAAAAGACAAGAAATAACCAGTGCTCATGCGGACGTGGAGAAAAGGGATTGCTTGTGTACTGTTGCTGGGATTGTAAACGGGTGCAGCCACTTATGAAAAACTACATGGAGGGCCCTCAAAAAATTAAAAACAGAACCACCATATGATCCCACAATTCCACTCCTGGGTATTTATCTGGAGGAAATGAAAACATTATGTCGAAGAGATTTCTGCACCCCTATGTTCACAGCAGCCTTATTTACAATAGCCAAGACACAGAAATAACCTATGTGTCCATCAGTGGATGAATGGATAAAGAATATTACTCAGCATAGTCTTATTATTCTTAAGGTGCTAAGCATCTTAAACGTACATTGTATGTCACGTATATCTCAATAAAATGGGAAAAATTATTTTAAATAACCCTAGTTACCAACAGAAGCATTTTGGGACATTAGTATACAAATGCTAGATGGAAGCGATTTATATAAAAGGAAATGATAAGTTGTCCAGTTGGGCAGAAGTGTATGATTTCAGGGAGGGAATTATGAAATTTAGAAAAGCTGGTTTGGAACAAATGATGCAATTTGGTGTTGAGGAACCGAGTCAGGAGACTATCTGTCCACATCCTCCACCTTTGCAGGACGTCAGCAGTCCTTGCCATTCTCTCTCTTTCCCATACTCTGAGCAAATAAGAGACCGCTGGGGATGAACTTCCTCAATTTACCACCTGCCCTCACAAAGTGTACTATCATCCCCGCCCACACTTCTTTGCCTGGATCTCTTCCAGGCTCCCGTGAAACTCAACTCTATCAACACCACCCCAGCGTGGGTCTGATCTTGAACTTCTTCCCTCAGTTACTTCCTCTGTAGCCCCTCTAGTGACTGTCCTGTTGCTGTCATTCTCTGACATATCTGAAGACCGAGTGCTCTGCCCTGATTGCCTCAAGTGTCTATCTCCCAGCCATCTCTCCACCCACAGGTGCCCAGGAAGCAGATGTGATGAGGCTCACGAGTCGTACAGGGACTGAAATTTTATAACTGCTTGGGTTTTTACTTTATTTTGTTTTTTCCTATTCTAGTTCTGTCCTCTATGAATTTCCTGTTTGTATCTCTTTCCCATTTTTCTTATTGATGTGTAGTTCCTTCTGCATTTTGGATGACAAGTCTTTGTCAGTTGTAGACATTACAAAAATCTTTCTGTCTGTGACTTTTCTTTCCTTCCATCCTCCCCGGCTCCTTTCCTTTGCTGGCGATGTGGTTGTCCTATTATGCAAAAGGTTTAATCAATTTTTGTCATTCTTTCCTTCTTGATATATCAGTTAGAGTCATGAAGGAAACCACATGATATACTGAAGCTCACGAGATTGCGGAGAGGTTAGTAATGGGATAATTTCTAAAGACTAATCAGGGTTTTGGGAAACCAACAAAGGATAGAGTGGTTCCTAAGGGTGAGTAATAGCAACCACTCCTAGAAGTGAAGACAGGAAGTAGAGAGCTATTCTTGGACCCCGGAGAGGGGCTGGAAGGAGAGAGATGGCTGATTAGAGCTGTCATTTATTGCGTAGGAACACAGACAACATGCCAAACTGAGGTTTTAAGGGAACTGGAAGAATTACTAACCCATCCTCAGTTTCTTCCTGCCCTTCCCCTGTCAGTGATTCCCGTTTGGCAGACCCATCTGAAAGCCTGAGGAGATCCTATTTAGGACAACATGGATGAAACCTGAGGGCATTATGCCAAGTGAAATAAGTGAGACAGAGAAGGACAAATACTGTATGACTTCATTCATAATGGAACCTAAACAAGCCCCCCAAACCCAAAAAGGGAGACCTGTTAAGCAGCACATTCTGGTGAGCTTCACAATCACAAAGCAGGGTAGGGCATGGTAGAGATGGGAGATACCAAGTTTGTGTTCTCTATGAATTTTCCAAGATAATATCTCTTATCTTCAAATATTAAAATTATTCTTCTATATCCCTTCAAAGGTTTTAAAGTTCTGCTCTTCATACTTAGTACTTGAGTCCACCTGGAATTTATTTTGTGTACGTTGTAAGGTATCCATTTCATA